GAGCTGCCAACCTTATGTTTCAAACAGACTTTGCGGTCCAGCGCATTAACCCACAGCACCATACCAGTACTCAATATGAAATAAGGATATTCATTTTCCTTATTTTAGATATTATGAAACAGAGATCCAAAGAAATTAACAACTTTATTCAACCAGGTAGAGATTGGTTAGGTCAAGACTGCAATAAAGGAAATCTGAGTGCAAAATTTATACTTCCTCCCTGATGAAATTTGCAGTTTCCTTAGTTAACAATAGTTGACTCTTGTCAACTTCAATTATATAAGAATCTTACAATCCGATCAAGAGTGTTAGGCAGCTATCTTGCTATTGTACATGACTTCTGTAGAACATCTGTGTTACGTTCTTAAGACTCCTATAGCAAATTCTCAAAAAATCAGTGGCTTAAAAAACTGGAATTTGAAAAGGATTTCTAGCAAGATTAGTCAAACTCACTACACAGATCCTGTACAACAAAAATGCTAGAGACAAAATGAAACAGTTACAAATGAAAATCATAGAGCGCTGAACTTCAGAGGAAAGATTACAGAAATGGAATGAATTTTGCTGGGAGGAAAAGCTGAGCAAGGATGGTGAGAGAGGGAGAGGGACTGGAGAACTTTTATGATCAGCTTTGGCAACAGAGACCTGAACAGGTAATGATAAGGTGCAATTCCATCTTTCTCCACATGTCATAGCAAGCTCTGACACTCATCAACCACCAGAACAGACCCTGCTCTGTGGAAGCTCAGAGTCACATGTTTGGGAGCCATGCCAATATGAGGTGGGGCCAGGTACACTGTTTGATGTACTGCTTTAGTCTGAATTCAGACAAGCTCAGATTGAGATTTAAAGAACCCACAGCACTACAAGACCACCATTTAATCATTCTCCCTGTCCTCAGTTGCCCTCTGGTCCTAAGAGACACTGACAGCGGCTCCATCAAGGGCCTCCATGGATTACTTCTGTATTTACTCCTTTGAAGATAGATGACACTGAAGACAATAGGAACAAAATCTTGGGCCAGGAACTTTACGGTCACATCCTTCCAAAACCCACCTCATGAGCTCTTTGTCTTGCATGAGCTCCCCAAGGTTTTCCCTTATCTGAGTCTAGCAGCTGCACTGTTTTGTGTTTTGGGGTTTGGTTTTTTCCTTTTGTTGTTTCATTGTTTTTGTTTGTTTATTCATTCTCCTCCTTTTTCTTTTTCAATTCACATGAACTTTACCCTTTCTGTCTCTTCTTTTGTTTTTCTCTCTTATATAATACCTCAGAAACACTATACAGGGTAATTGTGAGTCAGAACTGACTGGATGGCA